AGGGAACAACAGCACTAACATCCTTCCGGCAATACATGCCAAAGAAACCTACCAAGAGAGGTTTCAAAGTCTGGACTCGATGTGGAGTATCAGCTTTTGTCTATGAGATGATCTTGTATTGTGGTGCGTCGAAACCTGTGTCCAGTGCGTCGGTCCTATCTGACTCATCATTGCAACGTGCTTCTCGTCGGTCCTATCTGACTCATCATTGCAACGTGCTTCTCGTCGGTCAACAATAATAACAACAACATCCAACGATGTTCAGTCAGTTAATGCACAGCGTGAAAGACTTCTCAAGCAATATGGGTCCTCGGGACTCGTAGTGCTCGATTTGATCAGAAACGTTCCTGCTGGCTCTTCGATATTTGTCGACAATTACTTCGCATCTACTAAATTAATTAAAAAAATGACTCAACTGGGATACAGAGTAACTTGTACATTACGATCTAACCGATCAGAGAAGTGTCCAGTGTCAACGGATAAACAGTTCGAAAAGAAAGAGAGAGGTTTCTCTGAAGTTTTCATCTCGGACGATGAAACGTGTAATGTGATTGCATGGAAAGACTCGAAGAGAGTACTTCTGGGCTCTAATCACATCGGGACAGAACCAAAAGAAACATTAAGACGATGGGACAAAGTAAAGCGATGTAAAGTTGATGTCATAGCACCTCAAATAATTAATCAGTACAACAAGTTTATGGGGGGAGTCGATACAATGGACATGTTGGTGGCTTTACATCCAATTCCATTCAAATCAAAACGTTGGTACATGAGAATTATATGGAGAATTTTTGATTTAATGGTGATTAACTCATGGATTATGATGAATTCTCGTCGTGGTGATAGCCATGGTTCAACAAGTCATGGAACTTTCAGATTATATCATTTCAAATCTGAGATAGCGAAATTTCTGTTGAGAAAATCAACAATTCAACCATTGCAACCAACTTCGAGCAACTCAATGTTGAATGCTAATGAAAGCGACGAAGAAGACGAACCGCCGCCGAAAAAGAAACGAGAAGCCAGATCTGATGTATCACAAGTTATGAGGGCTGATGCCTACAACCATTGGCCGATATTCGTCCCTGCAATGAATAATACACGATGCAAGAACGAGAAGTGTTCAGCAAAGACGTATTGAAAGTGCTCGAAATGCGACGTGCATTTATGCCTTACTGCAAGCAGAAATTGCTTTACAAATTATCATACGGATGAATAACCAAAAAAAATTAAATTAGTACAGCCATTAATATTGCCTATTTAGAATATCTATCTTCACTTTCTTTTGTTCAGAACTATCGAAACGACCATTTTTTGTTGATCTATCGTCTATTGAAGTAAATAAATTAAGTTGTTCATATAAAAAAAACTTATCACACAAGAGTGGGAAAAAAAGGAAAAGTTTGGACCGTAGAGACCGAATGTCCCTCCCAAGGGACATTTGGCATCTCTCTAAGGTAAAACTATCCTTCTTTTCCCCTCACAAAATAATCATAGTGAGGGCATCGCGCTTCTATTTCAGTGGTTAGCTTCTCCTCTTTGTCAGAGGAAACCCCTTCGGCTTTTAAGGGTTAAATAGCTTTTATTGTATTATGCATGAACACTATGAAAAGGAACGAAGTATAGTCATTGTGTTGTTGAAACTGGATTATTGCAGAATGCTTTACTGTAAGAATAGATTCATACAAAATATGCCTAATTATCAATAACAGGTGCGTTTTCATGTCGACAGAAGCATTTCGGTAAAGTTATTCGGTTCGAAAAAGAGGCGAAGTCTAACAAAGCACAAGACTTTGTAAAACTCGCAATCGTTATCATGACCGTGATTGGAGGAATAATTCATAATCGTGATCATGACTGAAAAAGGATTTCAAAATCACAATGATAATATGAACGTTTAAAATTCTACCCATTTTGTCGAAATGTAATGCTTCACATTTAAATTAGAAAAAAAGTCTCGCAGTTCATAACGCTATAGCAAAAGTAACAAATAATGCACATAAGTTATCCGAATAATATATCTATCAAAACTGATGACAATCGATTTTATCTGAGTTTTTGCCGATTCTTCGTACATGGCAAAGAAGCTTCAAGGAGAAGATAAACTGTCAGTCACTTTCACCATTTAGCTATCACCATCACTCTCATTCTCTGACAGAGATCAGAATTAGACATTTCAAAAATATTTATACATACACTAACAATTATAATATCCTAAAACCACTCACAATGTATGCAAACAAATGATAACGATCAATTTTCTCTGTATTTCTATTCTTTTCGAGTATATCTAATGGAGTATGCCCCATAGAGGGTAAGACAAGACGACAAACAGTTATTTTTATCTCTAGATTCGACATGTCTGGAATCAAGCTTCGTTCGTCCCAATCCCGGAAGTTTTTTCTTTTAATCTCACACATGTTTATTAATGTCAGTTCAAAAGACTTGATTTGACTTGTTGAGACTTAATAAGGCTTCAACAGACTTCACTAGTACAAGCGTGCGGAATCAAGTTTTTTCTCATCCGGCTGCTCTCCGCGTATACATACTCTAAACATCGTCAAATACTCGTCATAGTGATCGAGATTTGAAAAATTTCGTAATTGTGATCATGATTATTTTTGAAATGAACTCGTGATCTTGGTTGTGTTCGTGAATTTTAGCGAAATAAAAATTCGTGATTGTGATTCAGAAGCCTTTTTTCTTTGTGAGCAGGATCTTCATCGTGATCAAATATATCAATCACGCAGTACACTACTGTTGGTCCATGCAAGAGGTAAAAGTGTAAATAAAAAGATATTTAATGGTGTCAGTTTCTCTTTTTAATTTTCTTTGTGATATGTTCATGAACAAACAGATATGGAGATATTTGAATTTACCATTAAAAAAATTGTGACTACGAATCGATCCTATTAGTTATATATTTGCCTTCTAGTCACTATCAAATGATTAAAAACGACCATAAAAAACAAAGTTTTGAATAATAAAACATACAAATTCTAATAGGAATTGCCAAACCGTGCGATATTTAAAGTATTTTCGATAGTTAAACGGTAGAATAATAAAACTAATTCGATTTAAAACAAAAAAAAGGCGACTATCATATAAATCTAATGATGAAAGATGGAATTCTGTATTTATTGTTGTCAAACGTCGAAGACTATGAAGATTTTATCGAAAAGTGAAAAAGTAATTAAAAATCGCTTTAACGGAACCGAACATATTTACGAATTTGTTTTCCTGCAATTCGAACATCGTAGATCATCATATTTTAATCATTTTCGATATTTTATCCTTTCTTTCTTGATGAGTTTGTACATGTATTATTAAAATAGATTCTCTCTTTCAATCAATGCAACTACGAAATTAGCTGAAAATTGTTTCTCTATCAATGAAATAAAATAAGAGTAGCTGTTTAATTTGACTTCGAATATAAATGAAACATTTTATCTTTGCTTTCCCTGTACTTGCCTACTGGCGCGTTTTTTCTTCATTTATTTTCAAAGTTATGAGATGCAGTTGAAGGTCCATTTATATTCGAATTAGATATCTCATGCAATATCGATAAATTTTACTTCTCGAAAATATCATAAATTTCTTTTTTCTCTGGATAGACTCGTTCTCAACAGAGACTCTTTCCATGATAACACTTAAATTTCACAAATGAACAGAGTTAGTGTAGAAGTAAACAACGAAATAACTCTAACACAGTTTTTTTTTTAGTTTTTTATTTGTTAGTATATTTAATAAGATTCTAGAGCTTTGAATCGAATGTACAGTTTGTTATTTTTATTTCTTTAGTCTCTATTGTTGTGTTTGAAGTAATGATGAATAATGTTTCTTTATTTCTGGTTGTGTCTTTCCCTTTCTTCTTTCCCATTCTAAACTACTTCCACTTATAAACGGTGGAGAGCGTCAAAGATGAAGGATTCTCATTAGAAAAAAAAGTATGTAGACGAAATTTTTACATTGGAGCGTGAAACGGGAGAAAGACATTACCTTTATATCAGTAGAAAGGTGAATAGTAACATTTTCTGCACGTTATGTATGACATTAAATAGGTATGTATCGGCGCATGTGATAAAAACAAACCTTAACAACGATGTTGAATCGTGCATCAAATATTGTTCTTCTTTTCGCTACCACCATTGTCGGTCAATATTGGACAGTTACTGGTAGATTTTATTGAAAAATGTTTATTTGCGAGTTGATTCGAGATGTTTCTTTTTGTTAGACCTCGATATCGTTGTCTCTCGAATGATCCAACATGTTGGCCGAATACTTCTCCTTGGCAAACATTTAATAGTTCTGTTAATGGTCGTCTTCTCCTACCTCGCTCATAAGCTGCCTCATGTACTGAAAATCAATTCAGTGAATCCCTGTGCAATGAGACATATTCGTTGGACAGACTCATCGTGGCGAAGTGATCAAGTCGGTGCTATGCAGTACTTCAGTTGGGAAAATGTTTCGTGTTCCATATCGAATATAAAATCTTCATGTACTCAAGGATCTATACCTGTGTTTGCTGTTAATGCAACATGGCCTGAGCATATTCGAGCAACAATACAATTTGCTTCGACAAACAATCTTCGTTTAGTCATAAAAGCAACAGGACATGACTTATTAGGTCGATCAACGGCATTCGGATCTCTACTTTTGTGGCTTCATTACATGAAAAATATGACTCTAATTCCACAATATTCATCAGTGATGGTACTACAATATCGAATGTTGTTTCTCTCACTGCTGGTATGGAGTGGGGAGAGGTATGTACGTGGTTGGACACATACAACTTGATAATCCTTGGTGGAACAAGTAAGTCCGTGGCTGCTGCCTGTGGATATATACAGGGAGGTGGTCATAGTCCATTATCACGCTAGGATGGTATGCCTACAGAACAAGTCCTGAAATACGACGTTGTCACTGCAGATGGGAAACGTCAATCGGTGAGCTCATGTTAAAATGCTGGTCTATTATGGGCATTAAGTGTTGGAGGCGGTGGTACTTATGCTGTCGTAATCTCTGTTGTTTTACGAACATTTCTAACGCCATACATCGTTGGTACTATACAGAATATCAGAGCACCGAATGAAACTCATTATGCTCAACTAATTCGAGACTTTTTTCGAATATTACCCAGTCTATCTGATGTTGGATGGTCTGGCTATATGGTTATGATGGATATGGACATTTCCATTTCAATGCTTTGGCCTAATGGAAATCTCACTTCTGCAGATGCGACTTTCACTCAATTTGTCAATAACAACACAGATCTATCTTTTTCGACTAGTATAACTACTTCTCTGCCGTCATTCTGTCAGTATTATTTTTATGTACTTAATGAAATAGACCCGACTAGTTACAATGGTATCGTCGGCTCTCGCCTCATTCCTGAAACAATCGTTCGCAATCAAACAGATACTCTTGCTCAAGCATTTCTTCAAATGAAACGTCAAAGTTTGTCTTTTTCACAACTTACAATAAGTATGGTCAGTGGTGGCCAAGCGTCGAACACATCTAATAAATACAATAGTGTGAATCCAGCATGGCATACTGCTCTTCTTCATGTGTTCTATGCTAAAGGTTGGCCCGATGATGCATCCGTCGAACTTCAACAAGCAAGTGCTGTTCAAATCTCTCGTCAGATACAAATGTTAGATACCTTAGCCAATGGTGATCAGCTTGCTTGCTATATGAACGAAGCCGATCCAAATGAACCAAATTGGCAACATAGATTTTTCGGTTCACAAACCTTGTATAATCGACTGAAAAGTGTCAAACAAAAATATGATCCATCGGGTTTATTCGTAGGTAAAAATTGCGTCGGAAGGTGATGATTGGACAGCAGATCTCAATTGTCCTAAAACAGCGCATTCAGTAAAACTTCGTATGGTAGGACCGTTGATGTTAATGACTTTTTTTCTACAAGTATAATTCAACATTGGCTCTAGCTGAAAAACAGCTTAGAATATGTGACGAACCGTGAAAGTATCATTTATTTATTCGATTACTTGTTCGTTGCTGCTTTTTTTATTGCGGACAATCGTTTTTTTTCATTTATGATATTCTTATTTTATCTAATTGTACTTGCTGTTTGTCTTTCTGATATAGAATCAGTTTAGTGTCAATGCTGAGTTATTCATTAAAAATATCGATGCCGAATCTTCCAATAAAGTTCGATAGGATTCAAGTCAAATCACATAAAAGAGAAACGTTGAGGCATTACGACTATTATCGGAATTTTTTGAAAGAAGGCCATTGGATAAAATGCTTACAGCTTATTAACGAAGATAGTTAACCCATGTCTACCCCTACGCTCTGGAACGCGTGACGTCAAGCGAAATTGGAACTCGTGACGAACATAGAGGTGACGTCACGCGTACCAAGCGTTACATGTTTAGTGTACCACAGTGCGTTCGAAGCGTACGTACGCTTTGTGACAAGTACCTTATTGGCTCGTTTTTGTGTACTCAAAAAGTGAGTACACTATAGAATCGGTCAGTGTGTCCGGCCGTCCGGTCCGACGTTTACACGATAACTCTTCAAAGGCTCATCCGATTGTGATGAAATTTTGCACACAGAATAGTCTCGTCAATATCTCGGTCGAGTTCGAAGATGAGAATGATTGGTCGAGACCTTCCTGAGTTATAGCAAAAAATGTGATTATTTCCTGTGCTTTTCTATGCGAACATTGATCTATCCCGGTTTTCTCTCATAATCAAAAAAAACACCTCAACTGTTATATACCATTCGATAGAGAATTTCACGAGCTACAAAATGGTATATAAAATATTAAGAAAAAATTTAACATTGTATTCTAACATTGAGAATACTTTGGAGGATCTCAACAACTATTACCCATTTTTGAAAATGGTGCGCTCGGGGAAATTGCTTATAACTTTTTAAGGAAACACGATAGAAATCTGTGAGTTTCACTATTGAATAGAAGACAGCAGGGCACGTAAGTCTATGAAACAATTTGGACCACAGATAACGGTTATCATGGTGACCCTTACGATGCAAAATCTACTAGATCACCGTTCCCAGACGGTACAACGGGTTCCGGATTCCAATTAGTGTAGTGAATAGTGCCGGTCGAGATCTACAATTCTAGATGTATCCCAGGTCTCTATCTCTTACGGTTACGGTTCGAAAGGTATGAGCATTCTTCGGAAAGGTGTTTACCGTTGTCAGGACATAAATAAGAAAAAATAAGTAAGAAAAAAAAAAATTTCGTCAAATCAGACAACAATCAAATAATTGGTGGATGGGTGTTCAGTTCAGTTAGTGGCATTCTAAACACGCCAGTTAGTGAAGCGTTAAGAAATGCATTCAAAAATAAAACTGGTATTAAATTGTGAGGTTCAGTTGAACATAATCAAGGTATCAGCAATATTGTGTACTCAAAAAGTGGGTACACTATAGAACCAGTCAGTGTGTCCGACCGTTTACACGATAATTCCTGAAAGACTAATCCGATTGTCACGAAATTTTGTCCACAGCATTATCTCATCAATATCTCGGTCGAGCTCGAAGATGAGCAGAATTCGCCCAGAATTTACTGAGTGTCAGCAAGCAGTATCATGATTTTCTATACGTAACTATGCAAATATTGATCTATTAGGATTTTCGTAAACCAAAGCTTTGTCATAGTTAGAATGAAACCTCAACTATTATATACCATTTGATAGAGAATTTCTTGGACTACAAAATGATACTAAATTCTAGGGGTAAATATGCTGCGTTTAAAAAATTCCTCCGTATCACACTTTTGAGAAACCATGAAAAATCCATGTAATTTGACACTGTGTCTGAGTGATATGTATTTATTTTCCATAGAATCTGTACAATTTTTTCAGGGTTGACAGAATTTGTCTGGAGCTACAAAATGAGGGCAAATCAAAGGGGTAAATATGCTGCGTTTTAGATTTCCTCAATGTCATTCTTCCCAAAACTATAACAAACTCATGTGTACTGACATTGCCGGTCGATTCTTTTCGACAGTTTGATCAAGATCAATCTGTCAGCAATTATGTTTAATTTTTTTATCAGTCTAATAGAAATCTTTTAACACTCAGCGATATACATATATACTGTAAGATCGAAGGATATCTTTGATCTTAGAGTATTCTGCACGAACAGAAGATAACTAAAACTAAAGAATGATGTCGAAGATATAGACTGTTGGGTCTATATTTTATTGTTGAATAAATTAAGGCTATTGATAATTTACTAAGAGATTTCTTTTATTTACATAAGTATGCTTATTGATGAAGTAGATGTTCATATCAAAGTAGTTGCGTGATTACATATACTCAATAAATAAATGTGGCAATCTCGAAGTGAAATTGGAATGTTATGTATACTTCAAAAAATGAACTGACGACAAATTGATTTTTATCAAGCTGCTAGAAAAATTCATCCTTGAGCGCACTAAGAAACTGCCCCTTAGGTCCTGTGGATGCCCTCTTTTTGTCCCATAGGACGCGGCGAGGAGTTAGTTCCGGAAGCTTTATTCATTCGCATAAATGAAAACTTCTTTGTTCTAGTTGAACTATATTTCTTATTTATAAACTCATATTAATTATGTCAAAGTGCGGTACGAATTGTTGGGGATTATCTTCAAACGGTAAAAGAGCATCATAATGAGTACCGTTGTAGTAAATACAAAATGCTAGCTTATTCATATCGGATTTGTATCCTATATATTTTAGATGATCGCCTGCTGTTCCTTTACTAAATCGATCGACTAATTCCTGTAAACTAATGTTCAATGAAATATAATGTCTATGTGTTTGATCACTTTAAACTGGATATATGAATAGATCGGATGGGATAGAGCTATCGAAAGCGCCTGAATTTGAACTTCTCCACCCCATATTGTATTCCTCGCTGTTCTTTTCAACTGTTCTTCAAACGAAGAGTTCAATAGTGTACAAAGTATTTGAAAATAATCCCTATTATTGATCATGGCATTTACTGCTAACAATCTCATCGAATGTGTTAGTTTTTCAGATTCAATATTTATTATCGAAAGAGAACTATACAAACAATTGCCGTCTGCAGTCGTGCGAGTTCTAGCATAAACTGAATCCAACGCTTGAACAGAATATTCTGTTTTCGACTTTAACCGGACGGACTGGTCTTTATTATGCATAGTTATGAATGGTGATTTTTCGATTAAATCATCGATTATTTGAGCCTGACTTGAAATTTGATCAGTGTTTGTAGTATTATTAAAATCAAGTACAAGAAGAAAGTGGTCAAGAATCTTTCTTCAGGTTGAATCAATGATTTCATAATTTTCGAAAGAAGATTGTTCATCGATTTCCATCATATCAGATTGATCGCTGGTGTGAAGATCTTCAAGATTAAAAGTCGTATCTATATCGATTTGTTCGTTTTCACCAACTATTTCATAACGATCGAAAGAGAATTCTTCGTCAACTTCCATTATATCAGACTGATCATTAATTTTAAGATCTTTCAGATTAAAAGGTATATCTGTACGAATTTGTTTAATTTCGTCAAAATTTCATGTTTTCTTATCCATATTGGTTTATGAAAACTTGTAAGACTTTCAAAATAATCAGATTTCAAGCTATTCACATTAGTGAAGGAATAGTCAATCTGTGTTTTAGCATTAGTTGAACTTTTATTCAATTTATTAATCAGAGTAAACCCGAATGACTCCATATATTCAGTAAATTTGTAATTGGTTTTTATCTTCAAATTTATATTGAAATCACCAACAACAATTATACTGTCACAAAAACGCTTTGAAACAGTTATAACTTCATCAATATGTCGTTTTAAGACATCAAATGATGAATTTGGTGAATTGTAAACGGAAATGATACAAATATCATCAATTTTTATTGAGGAATATTCAATATGGTTTTTGCCTGAACATTCATATCTTTCGGTGATATCTTCATACTTCAAATCATTTTTTAAATAAGTGATTTGACCGAACGGTTTTCGTATATCATTACAATCACGTCTATGAATTACTTTGAAACCTTCAATTTCCAAAGAGTCACTAGGTTGGTTTAAACTATGTTTATTATAAGATAAACTTCTTGACACTCCCTGCTAAATCAGCTCGCCATTGTATAGCAAGAAGTGCAAGTCCAGGATGTTGTACGTTACCAATAACAATTTACTAGGTTTTGTCCATGTTTCAACACGACTTATCATGGAAGCAGACAAAAATGTTTTGTCAGATCTGACATCCAAAATATGTTTATTCAATGATTGTACATTATGAAACATCACGGAAAATCTTTCTCCATGAGATTCTTCAGGAAATTCAAGTGAAAATTTCAGCATTCGGTCGAATCTCATGTTTTTGAACATCATCACCACTACATCATTGGATTCAGGTGGTTTTAATGGAACGAAGTCGCCAATTAAATATAAACCACTTGCTTTTGTTGCACGACTACAAGCGACGTATAATTCAGATCTTGTCATCCCTTTCTTTAGATTGACAACGGCTTTTTCATAAGTACCACCTAAATTTGTCTTTTAATTTCATTTTTTTCATATGCCAGTATACCGGGTTCGTCTAGATTTACAGTGTGATTGACAAATAAAAGAGACAAATAAATAAGACAAATAAAAGAGACAAATAAATAAGACAAATAAAAGAGACAAATAAATAAGACAAATAAAAGAGACACTACTGACGCACGAACAAAAAAGCTAGCCAACAATGATATTTCATTAAAGACAGTGATATTCGATTAGACAGTCTAGAAAATAACAGTCCAGAATAGAAAAATGTAACCATCACTCGAGTCTATACTACATATTTTTAAGTTTTTCTAGTATTTTCGTTCTCCCCTGTTTCAACTAGTATGTATATTCATCTCTCTTCTAAATTCACAGTCATATTAGCCTGATGATGATACTGTGAAGTATCGAAAGCTCGCCTTGTATGTAAAATGGTTTTACAAAAATGTTTTTCAATTATATTAAATATACTTAGTTTTATAAGAAACGTAAAAAAGTCAAAGAATGTCAATATAGTTGCTTAACACTTTTTCTTTTATTGATGCAAGTCCATCACCAATACAAAAGTCATAAGCATGTGCAGTTGCACCTTCGATGTTAAGACTAGCCAATACTTTTGTATTATATGCATCAACTTGAGCATTACTTCTAAATAATCTTATTGCATCTTCACCTACTTCCAATTTTTTACACATCGGTTGACTCAGTTTTTGATCCTAATTCCGAATATGATATTTTTATTGCTCAAAAGTTGAGTTCTGATCGAGAAAATTGCGAATTACGGGCTGAATTCCGACTTTTTCGCCTCTGATTTAGAAAAAATGAATTTTCAGTTTCAATCAACCAGTTCTGACCTCGGATGTGAATCCGAACAAGGACCTTTGCCCTCCATAATGATGAAAACTCGAGATCTGCAGTTTTTGCCATTTAAGAGCTGTACGCATTCTTCAAAGCTATTCTTTCAAAGGCCTGTCAGCTACCTCAGCTAGAGACCGAATTTTTAAAAGTTTTGTGGCACAGAAAAGATGCAGTTGGATCCTATCGAATGCTGGAAGTCGCGGCATTGAGATAGTGCAGTTTTTAGTTTTTTTTAGATGGTCTACCATATCTAAATTTAGAAACTTTTTACTAAAATATCAATCTACCACCGCTCTTTCATTTGCGTAGAGACATCCCCAATCTCAACCTGTAGTCATGAATTTTAGGCGGTCCTCCCATTTTTTTTACATATATTAAGACTGTTGGCTGTGTGTAGTGGTGTCACGTTTCCTCACACTCATGTATAACGTGACTAAGAGAAGAAAATAGAAAAGAAAATGACCTGAATGGACTGACGTCGCTATATACAACGTGCTGCATACATACAAACGTGATATATAGATGAAAAAAAGAAAAGGTCACCATACAGTGCGGAGTCATGACTTATATCCCCAACGGGATATTTATCCCGATCGGCCTATACGATTATCCCGATTGGGCTACAAATCCTGATCGGGATATAATCAAGATTCGAATCGGGATATATAATCGATCAATCATTTTTCTGGCCTCCGCTTAACAACCAAATAAAAAACGGACAATGTCATTCGAAAGAGGATTCAAAACTGATTCAGATTCCATGGGGTTCGGCTATATGCATCGTTTGGGTACTGCATAAAAATTCGATCAAAAATCGCTTATTTTGATCGGGATATAAAATATATCCGGAACGGGCTGTTTTTGATTTTTTTTGAAAAACTTTCTCTTTGGAAAAAAGTAAAAGTTGATTACTGGAATCCAAAACCGTTATCGGATAGAGCACTCAGAACTGCATATGGATCCATGGGGATCTCCAAAGTATCGGATGATGATAACCTACTATCCATTTCAAAATATAGTGTCCGTGGCTATTGTTTGAATAACTCCAGAATGAAGATACATAGAGACCTGCAGTTTTCAGCATTTTGTAGAGAAGGCTTTACTGCATCTTTTGATATATAGAGGTTTGTATGAAGCGGATTTCCAGGCGGTGTACCTGACATGTGAAAAAACAAGAGGTTGCCAGGTACCGAAGCCAAAATAATTTTTCACTCGAAGTACATGGTTGCATTTTTCTGCATATTGGATAGCCTTGAGATCATAGCTGAGAATACTAATATTCTAGAATGATCATTTCACATGTTATTACTTTAGTTTACTGAAAGAGACTTTTAAATCTCACTTAAGACGATCAGCGGATGATCATAATTACTTTCAATACTTTTTTGAACATGTTTAGTAATATAGCCCGATCGGGATACAACGATATCCCGAACGGGATATATATCCCGATTCGAATCTTGATTATATCCCGATCAGGATTTGTAGCCCAATAACGTGCGTACAATAGAGTTCTATCGTAGAGCGTAAATTCGTCTTTTTCCTGATGTAGCATGCAGAATCTGTATGTGGGACATAAGGACACATTTAGAAAGGCAAGAGAACAAGCAATTCTTTTCGTTCCTCTTTCCGTTCGGTTGATGAAAATTTTTCCTCTTTTCTTTCTACGCACGTTCTTAACGATCCAAATGTATGTGCATCTTGTCGTATGTGAGATAGAGAATTTACGGTCTACGATAGAACTCTACTATATATAACGTGAAGAAAAAAAGAAAAGAAAATCGCTATTTGTCGCAGCTCTATTCTTTACTCGGTCCAGTTTTCGCATTTCTTTTAATCCTCTAGTTTCTTGTAACATCACAAAAGATAGACAACGGACATAATGGGTTCGCCTCTGTTGTTTGTCTTTTTCGTTTCTCTAATAACAGCTAATCACAACAATTTGGCTTATACGATACACGTGTTTTTCTTTCTGCGTAAATTTCAAACCAAGAAAAATGCTTCGTGTTAACGCATATATCTACTCTTCTATCATTTTTCAACTTGGAAGAATTTATATAGTATAAAGCCTTGTAGGTCTAGTCCATATCTGCTTGTTTTAACTTTTTCACAGCAGAATAAATAAAGGATTTGTAAAGTAAGTGCACAGTACAACACAGCTCACAATACTAAGTAAACATAGTTTTCTGAAACGGAATCTGTATTGGAAAATCACAAAAGTTTTTGCTTGTTTAGTAGTGCGGACAAAAAAACAAACAAATTCTGTCAAATCTGAGTGATTTAAGCTCTCTGAAAAGAGTAATCAGTTTCTCATAGCAATTTAAAAAAAGATATCTGAAAGTATTTTCTTAATTTTTGTTATTCATAGGAACCACTCAGGACTCTTTAAAGTCTCATGCAGCACTAGAAGATGGAACAAAGCTATGTTGTAACTGAAGGAAAGAAATTCAGTTCAGAAATATCGGTAGGATCAAAGGCTACGAAGAAAACGGCAAAATCTTAGCTTAACATTTCCACTCTAGAGTCGTTCCCTGTTTAGCGTTTTCTTTTCTCTTTCGTGAGTCAATCCAACCCTAGCCTTAGGCATTAATAAAGAAGCATAGATGACGAGAGCGAAAGTCCCTAATGCGAACGGAAGAATTTTCAAGTGGAGCACTCCGTTATTTTCAATTGGAGTTCAATGTCGATTGGCTTTGTGTAGAAGTAGTTTCACATATTGTTCAACATTAGAAAAAAGATTAGTGTTTGTTAAGTTACTCAAAATTAACTACGATTGCACGCAGTTGCAGCCTGGAGTGTCCTGAACAACTTTTGTACCAAGGATATGCCATAGTTTTGAACTTCGGATAACGCGAAATACTTTTTTTCTGAATGTTTTGAAAATTACGTGTATTTCAACGTCGCATTAGGAGACAAGGAGCAGAAACGTTCGAAAAAAGTCATTCTCTTAATGCGTACAAAGCATATAGCTCACTTATATCCATCATATCTCTCGACAGGCTCAATAGTTTTTAAAAATTATGAAAGGAGCATCCTTACAGATCGGTTACGCTATTGATGGTGAACTTCGCCTTTTAATATTTTACTAACTTTTAATTTTGTTAAGAGCCATTGTCTGAGAAAGGCAGGCAGTGGCGAAAACGGCACTAGATGAACTAGGTTTCAGTTTTCTAACTTTTTATTGCACCGAGTTATTCATACACCTCTGGAGACTTGGATGCTCACAGAAATCTTTGTCGAAACGGAAGGAGGAAAATTTTGGACTTAAAACTTCGGGAACTATTAGCCTAGAGTATTCACTGGAAATTTCAGCTGGTTATGCCTTGTCCTTGCGGAGAAAATCGAATTTTACTGCGGAGAAAATCGAGTTTTGAGCAGTACTACTTTTGACGCCTATAACTCCCGAAGGAAAGGTTTCCCAGAGCTGAAACTTTTACCATAATCTAGTCTTAATGTCTAGATGATGTGCTAAAAAATTCAGCCAAATGTCGGTATTTTCCACTTGTCTGAGCATATCAAACAATGGCTCTTAAGAAATAACGGAGTTACGTGGACTTTGCTCCACTTGCTAAGTGAAATAAATGTATGAGGCATTCTTTACTTTCTTTTTATTCTTCTCTCTGTCGTCGACGCCAATTCTTTTTCTCTTTGTTCCGTCATAAGAAGTCACTTTATTTACTCGATTTGGTATTGCCCTAATATTTTTAGTTTATTATATTTTATCTGTGAACGAAAAAAACACGATATATGTTCTCTTGAGCTTTCTATTGCTATGCTTGGAGACGAATTGCGATGTTCTTGGCGACGAATCTGAAAATGGAAAAGTGTACAAAACAAATTTATATTAATCAATATTTTACAAATAGAAAGAAGTACACTGCTTTTGATTTAATTCGGATCCTGGTAAAGGTCTGCCGACATCTGAATAGCTACGCCGCTCTTTTTCTAGCACTTTTGAGAGATGTTTGTTACTGTTATCAGACGTAAGGTTGTTGATAGGACAAACATACATCCACCAAAAACTATCAGAATGTATAAAATGGTTTTGCCGTCAGGTGTTCAGTTTTGTCATCATATACTTAGAAAACTGTTATAATAATTTCGTGCGAAAGCCCACTAGCAATATGGGTACTAAAAGAAATGCTGTTGATATAACTTGTTGTTCTATATCTTTATTGATTCTAAGATACAGGATAAAAATATTGCGCTGCTAGTAATCGAATCTGTTTGTTTCCAGAATATAAGCAGTCATTGCAGCAAGTATACATGCTGAGGAGTGAGAGTGAAAAAGTTTATATTGGACAGTTTTAACAATAGTTTTACGTCAAACCTTTATTGGTTTGACATTTGTTTTCTCTTACTTCAGTTTGTTTCACTTGATGTTGTAGACGGACTGAGAGGAGGAGATGGAGTCGATTCCTGATCTAAAATGAAATTCGACTAATCTTTGTTGTCGGAAATTGTTTTCCAGCAGACATTTCACCTTTCCCTTACCAATTTTATTTATTATTGCTGAACAATGTTGCATCACTTCTCTCGTTTTTTCTTCAATCGCTCCTTGGCTACTCTCTAAAACGAAGAACATCAGATGTTTTTTTAGGATAGAATGACAAGCAACTTACCCATATTCATACCTAACCACCTGTATGCATTGTTAATAATATTTTTTATACTTTGCTGATCATCAGCTGTTAGGTTTTTCGTTAGATTTTCATTATTCATGACTTTTACCACCTCCAAGCAATAAGTCTCCAGTTCACTTATTGCTTCCTCCAGGGATTTTCTTAGCAATGAATCCAGCATTCTATCTAAAATAATCTTTATTAGTGTTGTAGAAAATATAAAAAGAAAATTATTTACGTTGTGCTTGATTATTTGAGGTTATTTAGCGTTTACGTGGGTTAATATGTACGAAGGGAGTGAACGAGAAATTTTTTGAAAATAAGTAACGGAAAACAGTAATGGACGATTAATATATATAAATATATATATTGTGAAAAAGGTCGTCGGTCTGAAATTATTTCGAGGAGGTATTCGCTGACTGTATAAAAGTTTATATTCTTCATTTGTTATTATCAAACATTTTCTGGCTCTTTGATTATTGTTTTTTTCTCGTCATTTTTTTGTACGAAGTCTGAAAAGTGAAGGAGATATTTGTTGAGATCATCTTTTTGCTTTTACATCAGCAACAGTAGATTTTCAAACATGTTTTTTCTAAATTATGCCACTGCAGACGAAATTGTTTCTACCTTTTTGTCCGCTCATCCGCGATCTTCTAATAACTAAGTATCCGTCCTAAATTTTTTCTATCCGGTGATCCGTGAAAGTGTATTCTGGAAATATTTTTTGTTCACCAAGCTAACGTAATTCGCTATGTGTTAGTTGTTTCATCGGGTGGCTTTTTTATCATAATCTGTTTTGAGATCGATGATGATTGAGTAGTATCCAACACAGTACGTCTTTTTTTGGGATTTTCTGAAAAAAACATAGATATTTATATCTTAACGTATTGTGTTAGTGTAATGTGATAGCAACATTAGTACTGTGAGACTAACTTATTTTCTATAGTCTCTTGTTTTTTGCTCAAGATGTTTTCTATTGTCTTGTCTGATGAAATGTTGGAAGTTATTGTCGAACTACAAAAACAAGTTTTTTTCCTCATTTTATTTCGTACAACAACTATTTTGTGCGCATCTTTTCTTTACCATTCTTCTGTAATTTTTCTCCATTTTCTGCAAAGTGTCGTATCTAATAAACAGTTTTATAATAAAAGAAGTAAACAAGTTTTAGTTTCTGATGATGGTATGAGTACATACCGAAAGCTTGAAAATAAACGAAATAACAAGTTGAATTTAGTTTAAGCTTTATATTAGTTCTACAAAATGCATTTTGTAGCAGTTCCATACTCAATTTTCAACAACTTTTATACTTTACAGTGTTGAATCTGAGTAGTATTCTGCTGTATCCTTACTTTTTCCGTTACTATGAAGTCTTTGATATGAAAAAATCAAAATTTAAAAACCAACAAATATTGCTTATGTTGCAGGATCATTTAAGCAGAAGTATATATATGCTAACAACCATAATGTCGATCTAGTAACTGTGTTACGGCTGCCTGTGTTTCATCTACTTTGGTTTTGTCACACATAGTATAACTAAATAAAAGATATATATAATTAATTATATCTACGCTCGTTACATCATCTGTATTAGTTTTATAAGCACGTTTCAGCTGATTAAATTAACATCAAACTACGGGTTACAGTTTAGTTATCAAGATCTAATATCAAACAGCGGCAGTGTATTTCTAATTACTACAGGAGTTCCAGAACAAATAAGATCGTACTAAACTTAAAGCTCCAAAACGATGGTTTTGGTATTTAGCTGATGAGCCTCGTAACAAACGTAACTTATATTTTGAATATGAGGATATTTTTACCGAATACGAATTGATTGATACAAGTTATTTATATATATGCATCGTCATGTTCCGTCAATTTCAGTCTAATCTTTGAGATTGTCATTTAGTTATCATTTTTGTTTGCATTGCATAATGGTGCTCATTCTTTTTATAAAATAAAGAACAACATAATCTATTTCTCCCAGAGCATTGTTATAATTGAAAATTTGTTGTCTAATACCGATAACTTTGATTTCTTCATTTGCTCTACCAAATAATAGTTATATACTACATAATTTTCTAAACAGTTAATTGAAATCCGCCTAGTGATGATGATATAAATATGAATTATTTTATAATGGGATCAGTTGATATCCGATCGTCCTAACATTGAAGACAGTTCGATAGTTATTGTATATTTCGACCAATATCTGGCCTGCAGTTTTGCTCGTGTCACGATCTAGAAATATTTTCAGACAAAAATGATATTTTGTATATAAAAAGATAATTCCTACACGCGATGGAACTGCAATTCGTATCACTGAATTTCGTATTTGGATGATTATTCTTCGATCCAACACTCCAGCAACTGTTCCACTCTGCTCGAATATACCTAGCATTTGAAAATATAGCTTATATACAATCCAAGGATTTTTTTTGTATTGAACGACTTACTTTCACTTTCATCATCAGCCATATTTGTAACTAAATACAAATCTTACACTGGAAGACAGGCCGGTTAACTTGCGCTACCAGTTGCATGGAAATCAACGCGCTTACACGCTTCTTTCATTTCGAGACCAGGCCAAATCCGAATACCACGTCCGTATTTGTATAAATACTACCAGCAAATCATTTTTTTCTAAACAAAGGATGAAGTTCTCGTGATGACATCCAGTCTCTCGAGAAAGAAGTAGTTCTTACGTTGAAACACCGAGTTTTCGCGAAAAAAGAAGTTCTTGTGAACAAACATCGTGTGAACAAACACACAGACGTACGGACAACCGTTTTGTAACACCCTAGACTAAAGTCAAGGGAATAATCAAACTTGCTATTTCGTGAGCTTGAAATATTAAAATTAGATTCAACATACTCTACCGCATAGAATAAGCGCAAAACAGTCAAAGAAAGCGCTTTCTGTGCTAATTAAAGTAAGCGCGCGTAGAACACAGAAACAGCGTCCAACATGGACGACAATTATAATAATTAGCTGATTTTCTTGTATTCACATTCGTATTAAACACAGGAAAGCTAAGTCATTCACATTAAAAAGTGGAGTCAATTTGTTCCCTTACCACATTGAATATTGAATTTTACTATTCCCCAGCTATCAGCAACGATTAAATTACCCTGTGAGTCAAGTATTACTGCTTTTGGTGAAATTAATCCTCCGTATGGATTGGTAGAATTATAATCTATAGCTATTTGGTTCCATTTGGCGCCCAGCGTTCCAGTCTCATATAAGCACCGACTGTATAGCTATAACCTTGGTCGTCAACTGTTAATCCATACCAGCCTGTTGGTTCAGAATAGTACGGATAACCGCTGCCTACTACACAAAAAGTTTCCGTTCGAAGCCCAGCACTTCGATTTTTTGGGTTAGTCCAGTTTTATCTCTTTTAGTGCTACGAAGGCGCGTTCTCCTATATTAGCGGAATGCTCTTTCTCTACATAAGTCAATGATCGTGCTTTTAACACGTTTCTACAGAAACGATGGCTCCTCTTCATCTAACTGCAAAACCAAAACTTCAATCATGTTTTCCGTGTCTTGCTTGAGCACGTTGTTGGAAACGCAGTGGTTGTCAACTTTTGACGTAGTTTTGTAACTTCGTTCTCAAGCACATCAACTGCTCTAATTCTAAGGATTTCGGAAATTGTGCATGGAAGTGTATATCTTACTCCAAAAACAGAAGTAAATATCTTACTTTTGAAAAGAGAGTAAATTCCTAACTACGAAACTGGGAGTAGGCCTTTTATACCCGCCCTTCACGTCAAAATCAGCAAAATCGCTAGAAAAAGAGCAAAAATGATAGTAAAAACGACCGAGGGTCTTTCATAAATTGAATGTAGTTCCATGAAAAAATGTCGTGGAGAGTTCGGCAACATCTGGCTTTGTTCAGAAAGGTTTGCTCTACACGAATGGGCTGTTCACAAAAAGTTTCCGTTCGAATCGCGACACTTGGATTTTTTAGGTTTTCGAAAATCTGGGTTTTTCAGGCATCGGGTTTGCAAGAATTTTAACAGACTTTTCATATGCACCTCATCCGATCATAAATCCTTCCAGCTGATCAAATCTCTTTTTAGGTTTGTTTTAGCTATTATCGCCGAGGAGAAAATTTGAAAACAAAAGATCGCTTAAACTTTTGTGTCCGTCACTTTATGGCTTCTGTTAGATTTGCCTTTTTTTCTTTTCATGCTGATTTAGTCCAGTTTTCTCTCTTTCACTGCTATGAAGGCGCGTTCTCCTATATTAGAGGAATGCTCTTTCTCTACATAAGTCAATGATCGTGCTTTTAGCACGTTTCTACAGAAAATGAATTTTCACACTGATAAAGCAAAATAAAAAGAATAGGATGACCATTTTCGTTGATCTTTAAACGGCAGCTCAAATGTCAGGAAAAGTACGGCTATATATTCTGACTGAAAAAAATAGATAGATTTTCAGAATGTCTCGGAAGTAGCTTGACATTTGTATCTTCACAAAAACCGGATCAACTTCTTTTTGGTCTTGCACATAGTTCTCCATACCCGATTTCTTATACTGAATTTGAGAAAAAGCAGTTTGGAACATTCAGAAGAACGTTAAAACAAAGATTTAACGTATTTTCAAAAACTCAGTCATTTTTGATGATCCGCTTTAGTTTGTCGCAGACGGATTCTTAGACTTTTAAAGTAATTCGAGATTTAGTTGTAAAAGCACACTTTCGTTTTCACAGTGACAAAATGACTTATTATTCTGATCATACAAAGTGGATCAAAAGTCAACTTTTAATTACATTGTGTGATACTGATTTGTTTGACTTTTATTGAAGAATGACGAAACCCCATTAGCGAGTCAAATCCAATAAAATCATGAAATAACAGAGCGACGCTTTACCGCTAATACAGAACATGAGAGATTAACTCTTCAAGTGTATAGAATTCAGTAGGTTAGAAAGTGTGTATCATATAAACACATAATACCTAATATACCTAGCGATAGAAACTGATTTGATCCAAATATCATAATTACCCACTCTCTTCGATTTACCGATATTTTATGTGATAATAAAAACTTAATCACTTTCAACACTTTTCCAAGTAAATTTGTTTTTCACCTGTTAGGTATAGGCTAATGTACAGTTGTGACAGATATTCAACCATCGACGTTTTTCAGTTGATTTATTTCCATACTAAAATATTTTTTATTGTTTCGTCCATCAGCGTTTGAATTAAGCAATACTCATGTTTACTTTTCAGCGTTTCATACATAATATTTGTAATATGATCGACGTTTTCATTTACGGGTGATATAAGAATACGAAGACTAACTAAATTTGTCATATTGTTAATCATTTCACAAAACATAGATATTTCTTTATCATTAATCCAGCTTATAATCGATTCAACGGATTTAAATACTATTTCTAGAGTTTGTATATTTTGAAAAGAAGTAGTTCGTACTTTGGGTAAATGGTTACAATCAGATAACCCTAAATATTTAATATTATTCTTAACACGAATATTCTGTAAACATTGAATATCATTTATTACTAAACTTGTTAAATTTGGTGCAAGCAATAGAAGTTGATCAAGACAGGATATATTTTCTTTAATTTCCAAATATTTGAGATGATTTAATCTTAATTTACTTTCAGAAGAAGTTTCACTTTTACCAACATTATTCATTTGATTTGAGATTGTAAGACTTGTTAATTTTGAAAAATTTTCTGTTAGAAATTTAGCCAGCTCAGTGAATAATATCGGCTGAGAGAATGATTCAAAGATTCCTATTTTTCTGATACTCGAATAATCATGATTATAAAGTAAAGTTGGCGAGAGTGAATGAAAGTGATATGATGCGTCTGACATCGCTGGTAAAGTAAAAATAGAATAATGATTTCGTTCTTCATCAAAATTAAACACAATGTTCCATTTGTTGATATTTATAAACGATTGTTCTGTTAGTAATCGGTATGATGAGGTGAAGCACGTCCATTTATTGATTTGAAATTCCAGTTGAAACTCTAATTTCTCTAAATCTGGAATATTTGATAACATTTGACTAATTCTTGTTCCATAGGATGACAATAATGCTAGTTCAAATTCAAACAAGCTTGAAACAGAAATAAAACGTAATTTCGTTAAATAAATCATATTACTAAGTATTGGTTCTAGTTGTCTGAAACGGATCGCTCGGTGGTAGCAATATAAAGAGAAATCTTTTAAATATGGTAGTTTCAATGGTAAACTCTACAATAGAGAACAAAAAAATGATCTTAGTAGCTGTATGTCTGTATACATGACATGAGCATAAAACATCTCACTTCTTAGATAAAATACAAGGATGATGTTTCACGTCACATAAACTCAAATGAATTATATTTTTATAATTAAAGATAAAAGAATCTGTTGACTTTCAAAACTACTCTCCATTTCATAGGACAATGGAGTTGGTTGTAACTTGAATAACTTCTCAGCGGAAGTAGCTAGAGGCGTGCGGTTTGTGTTGTTAGAAAGAGAAAAGATAACTTTATCAGGAAATGTAACATTCAAGCAGGTTGCATCAGCTTATAGCGCCACCTACCGGTGGAACTTCTTTAAGTGGGCTTAGCGCCGAAAGTTCTTACAGCATGGAGTTGTCGTATGACATGAGTTTGATGGAGCAAACATTTCTCTACAAACCTACACAATCAGAAAATTTATAAAAGTTCAAGTCTGGCCAGCGGAGGCCAAAAACCAAAACCTCTAAAAATCGGTTTTTGTTCCGAAACCCACCTTAAAACTTCTCGTATCGTGTTCTCGTGTAGTCCATGTTGTAGAGCATGTCGAACTATCCTTGTGTACNTGAATGTTACATTTCCTGATAAAGTTATCTTTTCTCTTTCTAACAACACAAACCGCACGCCTCTAGCTACTTCCGCTGAGAAGTTATTCAAGTTACAACCAACTCCATTGTCCTATGAAATGGAGAGTAGAAAAGATCTTGATAATTCATTATGGTTACGGCACTTACAATAACGAATCCGCTGATAGAGTTCAACTTCATCATATGATGAAGAAAAACAAACCATGATCTTATGGATGTACGGTTCTTCGTACTCAAAACTTTATGATTTAGAAATATTTTTGACTACTTTTATACAAGTTTCTACAATGATAGAATCCACAGAGTCATTCTGAAGAGAGTCAAAAGAAACTGAAAATAAATATCCTTTTTGTTCAACTTTGCGATAATGCTCTCAGCATTTCAGATAGAGAGAACAGAAAAGTGATACATTTAAGAAATGATCCACAAGATAAAGGGAATGAGTCTTTCAAATAATTAATCTGTAGTTATTCCATATATTCAAGTAAGAGTTAATAGATTACTATTGCTGCAAAAAGTTTCCCTACGGTTCAAACTTTTTTGTTTTAACCATAACTTCGCAGAGGGGTGGTCTTTCAGCAAACGGTTTTCACCAAAATGTTGTCCATTTCTTCGAGTAGATTTGTCGAAAACAAAATTTAAACTATTGGTTATTCTTGTCTGTAGGTCGACATCAATGCTCGGGTACCTTCTCTTCGGTACCGACGAGTTGCAAAACTTTTCCGTACGACTATGTGATTGATTTCTTGATGTTATAGGGATGTTAATTTAGTGTTATTTTAGAAAATAAATATAAATGAATCATTTACTTTTATAAATAAATGTAAATAAATGAAAAAAACTTTATTTTTATTATGATTCATTTATCTTTATTTTACCTTTACTTTTAAAAACAAAGGTAGAAATAAATAAATAAATATAAGTGAATCATTTAGTTTTATGAAATAAAAATAAAGTTTTTTTTCATTTATTTATATTTATTTTATAAAAGTAAATGAATCATTTATATTTATCCATTATTATAAATGAACAGTAAGACTAAATTAACACCCCTACTAGTATACTCACTTGGCTTGAGAAATGTCGTTATAACATACGAAGTAAAACTCTTACTTTATAGTCATACGCAACATTATCGACAAAGTATCGGTTCCGCGCCAGACATTTAAAATCACATAATCTAGCCAATTCTACACTTAAATAATTTAGTAATGGAAAATTGTCAAATATAACCAGAAGATCCTACAAAAAAAAAAGATAAACGTCAGCATCATTATTTATAGTTATACCAATTTTACCCCATAATTAAAAATGTCAATTGATAAATGTTGAATAGAATAATTTTTTGATATAAAAGCGTATGAATCGAGAAAAAGGCCGGCATATTTGTTTGTTGAAACATTCAGTTTTTTTAAGGATTTTTTTTTTGATTTGAATAGTATGTGTTCACATAGGAGAGATGAAAATTGTTTGAGAGAATGATTATCATTTTCGATTAATAATGAATAAAAAAAGCATCTAAATAAACTTAATGTTAATTCTTGAAGATTTGGGAGGCAATTTGAGTAGTACTGGTTGAAAAATGTACATACATCAGATATATGATTAATTTCCGATAATTCTAAATATGTGACATTGTCAAGATATGAAAATATTCGGAGTGAATTGAGTTGTTTCAGTTGTAGACATGCAAGAGATTCGTCAATTTTTAAAACATGGATATACTGACTAATTTTTTCTAATATTCGTGAGCTAATGATGGAATTGAATACATTAAAATTGATGTTAAACAAATTAATATTTGAGAAATACTTTTGTTGAAATAATATATAATCTAAACGTTGAGTAACTTGAAAGAGTGAGTGAAGAACTTCACCAGACTTTAAATAATGGCACAGATCGATCAGACAAAGTTCGGCTAAATCATCGAAAGTAGTCATCTAAAATTAACGGATAACTATAATCGCTTACAAATATAGGAATCGAAAGATTTATCTTTCAAGTATAAGTAAACTAAAGTGTTTTCGATAGCATCTTTATTAGGAGAAAATTTTCTTTCTCAATAGTATGGTATACTCTTTTCTGTAAAAAGATTAAAAAAGACAACAATAACTTAAGAGAGGATGGCATACAAACCTTCGACTCATAACAAAACTTATTGTTTCACTGTCTAAATAGATTCACACATCGTTCTTTTTTCGTAGAAGAATAATTAACTAATTGTTTTTTTCTCCTTATTCTTTCGTTCACTTCTATTCTATATTGAACTTTTGACCGATTATTATAAACGAAAGGAAAGAGAACCTTCAACATAACTCGTTACGCAGTACAAAACATGATTCATTAGCTGAGCAAAAAACATACATAAGACCTTTTTCGTTCTACTGGTGACGTACATTTGTTTCGTTCAGATAATGAATTATATTTTCTACGGTGTAGCGAGTTGTGTTGAAGGTTCTCTTTCCTTTTAGTTATGATAATCCGTCGAAAGTACAATATAAAAGTGGAATTTAGAATAACATATACATTACATAGTCCCAGTAAAACATGAACAATGTGAACAATGGTATAGGTGAAAATGTAGAGAATGACAAGATTAAAAAAAAGAAAACTTCTTTTTTGTTTATAAGAAGAGAGAAAAGAAATGGCCTGTAAAATAACATACAAAAGAGGAAAACATCTAGAGATGACCTACATTAACCCTTTACCTACCCATGGGTCACTAATGAACCCTTTGTAGAATTGTTATAAAAGAATAATGAAGCGTGATAAAAATTGGATTGCCTTTAAGAGTAAGGTGAATTCCATAACCTATCGATTGATAAAAAAGATTTTCTTCCCCATCAATTTTTGGTGACGAGATTTCAGTCATAAAATAAACAACTTTGAAAAAATTGAAAAAGTCTTCTTCTCAGCTTTTGTTTTTTATTCAGGAAGGTTTCATAAACATGTTATTATCGATTAATGTTTTGCAGAGTGTTGCCTTTCCAACCAATATAGAACGAATTTTCTGAAAAGTCCTTACAAGCAAATGGGTCGTGGATGACGTACATGATAATGTAATATATTTAAAGGCGTCACATAAAAGATTCTCTGAAACGTAGAAGAAATTCTGTCATTTACTGAGTTTACTATGCAGTAGACTCCAATGTAGGTGCTGCACAACGAATATATGTAGAGAGAGAGAGAGAGAGAGAGAGAGAGAGAGAGAGAGAGAGAGAGAGAGAGAGAGAGAGAGAGAGAGAGCGAGAGAGAGAGAGAGAGAGAGAGAGAGAGAGAGGGAGAGAGAGAGAAGAATAGGAATGAAAAATACCTATGGGAAAGAGTGAACAGAAAGAGAAAATACATATCATAAAAAGCAGAAGAGTGAATACATATATCAGAAGAACAGAGAGGGAAAATAACCATCGAGTGATGATAAGAATATGTGTATTGAAAGATGACAACTATTGATATGAGATTAGGTTAACTACTTCCTAACAACAGGCTTTCGTATCACTTTTATGGCACATGTTCACGTACTCGACCAAAATTCCTATTCATTAAGTATGTCACTTGTTAATGCTAAGAGTAATAATAATTTGAAAACAAAGTTACAAGCATTGGTCACAGCGAAAGATCCAACGATTTCATTCATTGAACCGGCTATCAGTCGTAGTGATTGTTGGACATCATTTTCTCAAATACAATTATCGAAAATTTCCCAGGACTACGTTGTTTGTTTATCCAGTGGAACTGTTTTGAAATGGATTAGTGAAAACGGCACGAAAGTAATGAAAAATCACAGTTGTCCGAAAAAAAATGGTATAAGGAGTATCACACTAAAAGGACGTCAACGTACGACCTCATCTTATTGTGAAGCACAACCAAATGATTATGCAGCAATTAAACACCAACTAACAGAAGCGTGTATCGAATATTGTGTTGTTGATAGCCGTTCATTTGAATCTGTATCTGATGACGGTTTTATCAGCTTAGCCAAACAGTTAATGGATGCTGGAGCAATAGTCGCTCGGCTGTACCAGTAAAAGAATTATTGCCTCATCCATCTACAGTATGTCGTGTAAGGGGAGTTCCCCCATTTAGATTTTCTTTAATCCCTCGTGGATACTCTTCTCGTGCAATGATTTCTGGTGATAGTAATGTATTTAGAAAAGGGCTGAGAATTCTGCAAACTTCATCTAATACTTACCAAGTGGATAAATGATAAAATACTTGGGATTGGTCAATTGCCTGAGTTAAAAAGTAAGGACAGCAAATATTTTAAAATTAATAAAATAGTAAATAACTCGCTTTGAAACTCACTTTGCTTAAAGCTTCAACGTTAATGTATTGATACATTGTTGAGTTTATCGATTTAAAACCCCAAAAGTAACACGATCCGGGAGAACTAGAGCATAAACAGTTTGACAAAACTTCACTATTTCGGTGAATGAAGCAACATCTCACGGTATTCTGGAATTCTAAATGAATAAACAGATAAAATGCAAGAGCTGTAGAAATAAAGAAAATGAAGTCCACAATTCGAGTCTTTGAGGGTGAGGGTGAGGGGAATAAATTTCGATATATGACTGGAACGAGCATTAGTCACTAAAGAAACGCTGGAATTTTCTATAAAATAGCGCCGATTCCCGAGTCACTCACAGTATCTTTTACGATTATTATGTTAAAAGATTAGTCGGCAATAAATACGGTACATTCTTCGTTTCAGGCACAGAAATAGTTTTGAATTTGTTGCTGAGGCCTTTACATCTGTTTATTATGTGACACAGAAACGAAACATAGCGTAGAGTAAGAATTGAGATAGATTTGGACTTGATTAGTCCAGTTATATAACGACATTTTCATACCTAACAACACAGATATACATTCTCTATGCATTAGTTGTACTGATTTTTCTTCTGCGATTATACAAAACACTTGACTGGAATGCGAGGAGTATACCAGTCCTATCGAATAATAATATTTAGAGAAATAAAAACGGTTTATTTTTTCTAAAGTTGAGAAGAACGAGTTTTCTCAATAGTTTTCTTTCTGGAGGATCTCAGTTTAGCCATTCAGAAAATTATGATGATTAATGAATTGACCTCCCACTGGAACTTTTAAATAAGCTTACAACGTGTTTTAAGCATTACAAACAGTACGTTTTCGCTAACGCGTTCACTAAAATGCATTTAGATGCATTTGAGTCAAATAAAAAGCATTTAGATGCATTTGAGTCAAATAAAAAGCATTTAGATGCATTTGAGTCAAATAAAAAGCATTTTTGAAGTGCAATTGAGCTTTAAATAGTGACTTTTTATTGTCTGAATGCGGGTCACGGCACCATTGTTACGCCCCGTAATCACCCAGCGAGATGTTATATCACGACAGAACGGAAAAAGACCACTGCCCGACTGAGGAATTGAACCCCAGACCTTCCGATTACCGGTCGGAC